CGGGGATGTGGGTTGCATCCAGGGCTCCCCCGCAGTTGGGGAACCCAAGGGCAGCGAAGCTGGCCAGCGTAGCGTCCATGTCGCGCAGGCGGATCACTCTCGGTAGCAGGACATCATTGATGGCGTGGACGACCTGCAGAAGGGTGCAGAGAAACACAGGGGAACACATCACACAAGGCAGGGGTGAGTGTGCGCTCCCTTGGGCCCCCCCGTGATTCCCTCTGTCCTCACGCGTGCACACACACGCACACGTGTGCTCATGCACACACACACACACACACACCAGGGCCCTCTCGCCCCATGCCCCCCCCCACCAGCAGGCCTGTGCAAGGGAGGGAAAATAAACATGCCCCTTCCGGAAAAGGGGCCAGTGTAGACGTAGCCCAACTGTGTAATTGAAATCAAAATTCAGTTCATCATTTTAGCGTAATACTATTTATTTAATTTGAAATATTAATAATCTTTTAGGGATCACTTTTCTCTGATTTTGCTTAAGTTTGGTGGAAGGAAAGGCTTTTTACAAAATTAAAAATGACATCTACATTAATGGGCTTAAGCAGTTTGTCAAGTGAGAAGGTTGGTTGTCAGATAGGAAAAAGGACTGCTGGATTTCACTCCTGGCTCTGTCACTGGTTTGCTACTAATATATACCTAGTTCCTAGGGTTAAAGTATGTAGGCATTAGATGTGTTCAAGGTAAGTAATACCAAAAAATAATTTTTCACACCACATACATATAGGATGAGTCTAGACTGGCATGATTTTCCGCAAATGCTTTTAACAGAAAAGTTTTCCGTTAAAACCATTTGTGGAAAAGAGGGTCTAGATTGGCACGGACGCTTTTCCACAAAAGCACTTTTTGCGGAAAAGCGTCTGTGCCAATCTAGATGCGCTTTTGCACAAAAAAGCCCCGATCGCCATTTTCGTGATCCGGGCTTTTTTGCACAAAACAAATCTGAGCTGTCTACACTAGCCCTTTTGTGCAAAAGCTTTTTTTTGCTCCCGAACGGGAGCAGCATAGTATTTCCGCAAGAAGCACTGATTTCTTACAGTAGGAAGTCAGTGTTCTTGCGGAAATTCAAGTGGCCAGTGTAGACAGCTGGCAAGTTTTTCCGCAAAAGCAGCTGCAGACACAGCCACTCTGTTCAATCTGCGTGTAGAGATGGGCAACACTTTTTAATAGACTTTTAAAATCTTACGCAACAATTAAAAGGAATTCCAAAATCATTGAACAAGCAGCTTCTAATTCCTTTCTTTTTGTCATGGAATATATCTTTCAGGGAACAGTTGACAGTCTTCTGATTCTCAGAAAGTTCTGCACCAGAGAATCTTCAAGGATTAGTCCTTTTGTACACTTATCAAAGGAATCCTGGTTAGTTAGTAAAGTAAAAACCACTATAGGTACATTCAAGAGTTCTTTATTTCTTTCCTGACTCTATCACTGGTCTCTGAAGCTGCTTACCTCACAGCCTCTTTGTTTACTTTGATGCTATAACCTTTTGCCTCCAGTTACCCTGTGGTTCCTGGAGCCATGCAGATTAATCAGATACAGTGAATGATTGGAGTTAATAAAAACAGTGTCAGATACCCTTTCAGAGAGGTAAATGAGGAGAGGACAGCAAGAGCAAAAGAATGAATTTACAGCAAAAGCAAATAGTCAAGACTGACTAGAATTCAGCACATAAATGGTGCATCTGCACTGCATCGTAAGATACTCAATTTGAGCTACGCAAATTGTGTATTTTATTTTGATCTTATTTTGAAATAGCTTATTTCATCATTTGGTGCTGTCTACACAGCACCAAATTCAATATAACCCACTATTAAAAAATGTCCCTTATTCCTCATGGAATGAGGTTTACAGGGATGTTGGAATAGCGAGACTGAAATAATGGGCTTGCATTTACTACATGGGATAGCTATTTCGGGATATTCTTGTATCCTGAAATACTGTTGCAGGGTAGACATAGCCAAGCAGAATAAGTTAAACATCTCAGAAGAATGGGACTATTGAAAAATGCCATCAAACGGCAATGTACATACCATTACTTCTTCCTGCATTACACTCATAAGGCTTTTTAAATAAAAGTATACTTTCAGAGTGTTTTAACCATCTGTGCAAGATATTTTGCAACAAAATTCACATTATGCAAAATTTGATTGTTTTTGTTAACATATTTGTTGTAACTGACAAGCTTTCTAAGAAGCATGAAACTTTCCAGTTATCTGGGGCCCAGTTTAGAATTAAAATATTGATTAGTTTTTGGTTTTACATCAGTATCATATGGGACCTGTGGTCTTGATGTCAAAGCAGGTGAAGGTGCAGTTCTGATGGAAACTTCACATAGATGTTTTAGATTAATTCGAGTGCAATCTGCATGTTAAAGATCCTGTCTGATCTGTACAATTGTTAAAGATCCCATAACACTGTGTAACAGAGTAGGGATTTGTCTGGTGGTTCTTGGCCAAAATTCCACTTCCTTTCACTACTGGTTATCTTTTTATGGTTGGAATTTGCTTTTTCCCCCTGTGTGCCAGGCTCTCCTTCGAAAGTCTTGAGAACTCACTTTTTGATTCAGGGCAAAATTCCTATTGAAAAGTGAAAGATAAGTCCCCATATGTCCAGATTCAACCATTATTTTATGTATTCAAAGCACAAGGCAGGAAAGATTAATTAGCAGTGGGAATCTAGGAGATAGCTGAAACTGGATGCCAAATAGTAAACCTTTTCTGCAACTTAAAGATTATGACCTGAGGGCTAGGTGGAATGATGAATCCCTTTAAGCCTTTAGCCCTTAAGAGTTTTGGTTTCTCATTCTGTTTTGGTAACAGCGTCTCTGGACTAAAACTGTCAGCAAATGTAAATTAGGATGGAGGTGTTTGTCAGAGCCATGTGAGGAAATTCTGACAGACTTTGCCTGCATTATACTTTATTCATGATTCACACTCTATCTTCAAGGTAACACATACAGCCTCATTGTCTCTCAGAGGAGCACTACTTCTGCTTCACACCTTGAGCTCTGCCCAGCAAATCCAACTGAGATAGACTGGTCAGAGATTTGAATACTGTTCAGGGATTCCTGCACTTAACAGAGTTCATGCAATGATGCCCAGCAATTTTTTCAAAACATAGTAGGTTGGATTAATCAACCTGAACACAGAATTCTGAGTTCTTAGGTTAACACAGAGAATTAAAGGTTACAATGTAGGCCATTTGGCCAAGCCAGCAACATCAGCTAGCCAAGCTGCTAACTATGAACTTCATTTCACACAATGTCCTGTGTCAGTTCAAGGCAAAGCACTCTGAGTTCACATACCATTTGCTGGAAATTCCAGCAGTTAAGTGATGATTGTCCAGTGTTCATGGGGTTCACTGTTTCCCATTCTCCCCCATTTTGCTCCAACTAAGTAGCCATACAAAGCACAGTAACAAGGAATGTACAGGAATCATAAAAATACATTGCATGTAAAAAATTCAACTTCATCACATTGGTGAAGATTTCTAATCTCCAGAAGATTATAAATGTTTCTCCTTACATGATGCATTACTACTGATGCCTTTCATTGTCAGCTTGTGACAGATGAAACCTTTCAGCCTGACTGAACAGGTAATTTCCCACCACTCTTCCATTAATATTCTTTTGCGGGAACATTCTTTACTTACCAAAATGTGTTTAAACACTATGTGCATGTACTATGAAAAATTAAAATAAGGAGGGGTTGGGTTGTTTGATTATATCCCAGTTGGCAATATTTATGAAAATTTGGATGCATGCCTTTTATTAACTGTTTTTCTGGCCCTCTGTTCTCTACGTTGACCTAATCATTTTGAGTTATACTTCGTTCCAGCATAGCTGCGGCACTGAAGATGGCTTTGTTTGTCCTCCTGTCTGACTCACAGACTTCAGGCGTTGATTTTCTCCTGTTTTCACTTGGCCACTTGGCTGTTTTTTTTAACTCTTTAACTTTGCATTTTGCTGCACAGCTGTTCCAAAACAAACACAGAGCCCCAAACTCTGAGAACGCCGCAGGATTTTATGCAATGGCTGCAAACAAAATATGGTTATAATAGAGAATTTGTTGTTCAAAGACCAGAAGGATAAATTACATCTGGACAGAGCGACTGCACTCCGCCCGCTCGGCTGGGACTTTTTTAACTCTTTAACTTTGCATTTTGCTGCACAGCTGTTCCAAAACAAACACAGAGCCCCAAACTCTGAGAACGCCGCAGGATTTTATGCAATGGCTGCAAACAAAATATGGTTATAATAGAGAATTTGTTGTTCAAAGACCAGAAGGATAAATTACATCTGGACAGAGCGACTGCACTCCGCCCGCTCGGCTGGGACCGCCCGCGGACCAAGCCCTTCTTGCCCCGCCCGGCTCCTCCTTTCGGGTGGGGCGGAGAGGCGCGCTCACTCACTC